GCAAATCTTTGGTAAATTATCCAAAACACGAGCGAGCAAGCACACAAGCAAAGGAGCAAAGGAATCGCTCGCTCGCCTTCCCGTCGCACGCACAGGCACCCACTCCTAAGTCACTAAGTCACCCTTCACACCCTCACAAGCTCACACTCTCACATACGCCAGTCCTCTTCTCCTTCACTTCACTTCATTTCCTCTTCTATTGACGTGATGCAAGCTCACGAGAGAACAGCACAGCAGGTGGCACGATCAGAAATGCACAAGTCAGTCAGTGACACTGCATGTCAGTCAGGCAGGATGCTTTGTATCAGCCGGTGTGGGGTGACATCGGCTCACTTAGTCACTTGGACTTGGACAAAGCACCTCAGAACTTCAGAATGAATGAACAAACCACGCACCAAGTGGGAACAGGCAGAATATGATGATCTGAATGCTGGGTAAGGTGGTAATGATAAGAACGATAGAATGATACAATGATGTCAAATGGTCTGCATGGTAAGACACAGTGATGTGACATGACATGACATAGTGACATGACATGACACTATGACATGGTGACACAGCAGTGTACCTATTGTGTATGTGTATGTAGGTGATACAGACCAACACAAGAACACAGGTGGACGCTCACACACCTTCTCCACACACGCACACGCACACACATACACACGCGCTCTCTTCTCTCCTCTTTTCTTCACTTTCTTTCTCCGTTCTTCTCCCTTCTCTCCTCACTCCTCTGCCACTAGACTACAGGTCCGTGTTGGGTTGCGACCGCTTCTTTGGGCGAGCATGGACGAGATGCAGCACCTCGCTCGCCTCCCGCAGTTTCTGCACGCAACGTCCAAAGAGAGAACCCCCGTCACAAGAAGCAAGATGGCGTGTGTTAAAACCAGGTGCAGTCATAACGTGGCACGCTCTGAAGGGGGGCATATGAAGAGTGTCGAGAGCAGCTGTGCATAGTCAAGCATCGACATCATCACCACCACCACCCTACCACCACCAAACCACCCAACTTGTCCTGCACACACACACACACACACACATGCACACGAGTTGCACACAAGTGCCACGGGTGCCAGTGCGCAGCGAACCTTGCGGGCGTCTGAACGGGCAAGGCCGGCAAGAGACCAGCCATTCACGTTGACGAGCTGCAGTGCAACAACAGGGAGAGCCATGGACAAATAAAATCGACAGAACAAGACACAGGGAGAAAGAGAGAGAGAGAGAGAGAGAGAGAGAGAGAGAGAGAGAGAGACAGACAGACAGACAGACAGACAGACAGACAGACAGACAGACACACACACACACACACACACATTGGCGTGAGGGCATGAAAAAAGAAATCACGACGGAAGGGGCCATCGATGTACAAGATGAATTGCGAACAGCAAGCGCTCCAGGAAAGCCCAACAGAACGGTTTTCATGCCAGCAGCACACCAAGCAGCTACAATTAGGCATTTGCACGACACAAATGCAAGCAAGCACGCACAAGCACGCGCAAGCACACGCACCACGTCGCCGACATGGACTTGTTGCGCCTTGGCTGCAAGCCCGCCTTCCTTGACGCTCTGAACCACGACGCCAAGCTGCGTCGTCTCCCCCAACGTGAGCCCAAGGGGCTGATCTGGTGCATCCTGTGAAACATCAACACACATGCAGACAAAGGAGGTGGGTGATAAAGAGGCACTGTGAGCGTGCGTACTCATACGCACACCAAGGCAGGGGGAAATCGCAAATTCCCGTGCATGTGCTCATTCGCCCACAAACACTCGCATGCGCACTCGACCATCCCACGCACGCGCACTCACTCACCCTGGTCAGAGTGCAGAGCTGGAACAGCAGGTTTTCATGGCGTTCACGCAGCGTCGCCAATGCCTGCAAGCAAATTAGAACAAAAGGTGAGCAAGAAAAGTAACAACCCACCAACCAAACAGCAAAGCCCGTCTCATCATGTCACGCGCAAGCACTTGCAGGAAAGTGCGGATGCCATCGCTCTATGGCTCAACGTACATCCAGGGCAAGGCGCTTCTCCTCCTCCTTTTGGCGGTGCTTTGACAGCGCACGCATCAATTTGGCCTGCACAGCAATATCAGGCACGCATGTGAGAATCAGAGAGTGCATTCATGCATGCAGGCAACAACATCAACCATTAACAGCTTCGAGTTGCTCTCCCTGATTCGATGGACGCATGTCACACACACACACACACACACACACACACACACACACACACACACACACACACACACACACACACACACACACACACACACACACACACGCACGCGCGAGCTATCAACCGACGTACATACCTGGCTTTGCTTTCGTGATATGACAAGAATCGATGTGTGCCCTGTTGGGGACGCGCGGAGGTATGGGAGGATGATGATCAAGGAGATGACGTTTGAGACATGGGTGCCGCATTTGGAGTGCACATACGCACGCCCACCCCCAAGCCAACGCACCAAAACAAGACATATTGGGCAAATGGCTATTCCTACA